CCCCCCCCCCCCCCCGCGGAATGGAGGGGGGAAGCTCGACTATCCCATATCCTACAACCCTAATGCTCGACCTCCAAACCTTCCTATCAAAGGCCATGTCCTCGGAAATCTCCAATCTCGCCAGGTCCTGCCTGATCACCTCTCCCCACACTTCTTAGGCCGTCCTCTACCTCCTCTCGAACCCATTAAAGCCAGCAGCTCACACCTCCTCACCGGAGCATCCAGACTTCTCCCCCGCACGTGCCCGAACCATCTGAGCCGCGCTTCCCGCATCTTGTCATCCACAGAGGCCACACCCACCTTCTCCCGAATATCGTCATTCTTGATCTTATCTAACCTAGTAACTCCAAGATCAATTATGAGTGAAGAAGGCAAGGACAGTCATCATCATCACCATGGCCATTATCACTATCACCATGAGGAAAACCAACCACCTCCACCACCACCAGCAGAATATGGTACTTTTCAACCACCCCCTCAACCGGTAGTCGGTTTCCCTCAACCGGTTCCTCCGCCTGGGGCATTTGAACCTTTCCCTGAATATTATGCTCGTGGCTATCAGGCTGTTCCAGGTAACTCCCTTTACTCCTCATAATTCACCATCAATATCTGCATTGATTAATTTCTTGAAATACCTCATCTTTATTTGAATTTTGGGTGAGAAGTTTGTGTCTTGCAACATTCAGTTGAATTGAGTAAAAGTAAATAAATCCAAAAGAGCTATCTGATTTTAGATATTGAGAAAGGTGGATCGTTGCTTGGTTTATGCCTTCCAAATTTCAGAATTCTAATGGATAAGATAAGTGAAACACGAATTTTGTAGCCTAAAGTTAAACTTTACGAGAGGCCTTAACTTTCTTAAATAAAATTTATTAAACTTTTAATTGAAGTCTGTTTTTATAGCTTCTTTTAGATGCAAAGTTATTAATGATTTTTTTATAATCAATTTCTCCTAATAAGTCTTTCTCAATTGACAATATAGTTAATCCATTTAACGTCTCTCAACACGTTGTTGATCTTAGGTAAGATTTTTATCAATTTTAACTTTGAAAAACTTCTTTCCGTTGAAGCAACTGTAGCATGAGTTATTTAACATTATTCTATAAGCAATATAGGCATTTGAAAAAAGAATCAAATCATTTTATTGAGTATGTCAATTAAACTACTATCTTCTAATTGTACTATTTTCCTTAATATTTTTAATTTAGAAAATAAATCTAAACCATCAATATGAGTTTGATTATTATGCTTTAAGGAACATTCAAGATTAAGGTAATGTTTTTTCAAATTTCCATCATCCAAAAATATTTTCATACGCTTCGAATGGTTCAAATCTATTTTGAAGTGAAAAAATAGCCTTGTCTACTATGTATAAAAAGTAATCAACTCTAAAGGACTCTTCGAGAGATTTTGAGATTTCATTATCAACATTCTCATCAAATTGTTTCTTCCTATACACGATTCTTACGAAATTCGGGTTCTTATTTCAAATGCAATTTCCTTTGCAGAAATCATAGTAGTTGCAAATCCTTCTACTCTATTTTTGTTAAAGAAAGAAATCAAACCTTTTTACTTCATAGATTTTTTTTTTAAAACATATATATTACCTATTAAGTGTAATAAAAATGGCCCCCCACAAGTGTGGAGACCTAAAGCATTTACCTGCTTTAGGGAAGGGCCGCCCCTGAACAGAAACTCTGTGCATACTGCCTCAATTTTTGTGGATTCTTTGCTTTACTTTCTTTTGTCTCTTCCATATTTAGTAAATACAATCTCCTCCCTACTTACAGTTTGTTTTGTGATTAAAATGTTAGTGATGAACTGTGTGTAACATGTAAAGAGGTTGAGTTTTCGGGATTGTGATTTGTCTGTTTGGACGTTTACTGACTTCTGAAATTTGGGTCATATATAAACTGTTATTTGTCTATTAAATTTGTTGGTTCATTTTCTTGTATTTTAGGTTATGTGGTTGATGAGCAGAGACCTGTGAGAGAGCCTCGCCTGCCTTGCTGTGGTATTGGTCTTGGCTGGTTCTTGTAAGTTCCCTACTTTCTTTCTTTATCCTCAAAGACATAATAACATCGCGTTCCAAGTCCAAGGTTCACATTAAGGTTTAAATTCAACAAGGTTTCATTTTTGCTAAGACTAGTTGTTAGTCTTGTTCAAATGGGAGGTTGAGGCTATTGCATCGTTTCTCTTCCCTATTTCTCNCTTAACATCAAGGACCTCTCATTCAGTGATCTTCTTTTGGCACAAGACATATGTATTATGTTGTGCTTCTTATCTGGTTTATTGCAGGTAGATATGTATTGCCACTTTCAAGTAGTAACGCCTCAAAAGTCAAAGAAAAATAGAAGCAAAGGAAAGAAACATTCTGTTTGTCATTCTCAAAAAAAGGAACATTCTGTTTGTTCTTTGAAAGATGTAATGCTAGAAAAAATTTCTTCTTGACCATTCATATTCCCGTCCTGAATAGTAACATGATTTAGGGGAGCATTAGGTCCAGTTTGAATTTCATCACAAACTGTATAAACAACAACAACAACTACCCAGTATAGTCCCACAAGGTGGGGTCTGGGGAGGGTAATACGTACACAGGCCTTACCCCTACCCGAAAGGGCAGAGAGGCTGTTTCCAATCGACCTCGGCTCAGGAAAAGGAAAAGGAAAACAAAAACAAAAAACAAAAAGCAAAAGAGCATTAGTAACTCCAGCAGAAATCACATAAATAATTATCTAAACATAAACCATAAATAAAATGGCATGCAAATATATCGACCAGTAACTACCATAAGGGGGCACAATACAATACACAAATCATCTATGGAGAGCCCTACAAACCCCCCCCCCCCTCCCAGCCCCGAGACAGAAGTACGAAAAATTCTAGACGCCCCTATCCTACAATCCTGATACTAGACCTCCAGACTTTCCTATCCAGGGCCATGTCCTCGGAAATCCGCATTCTAGCCATGTCCTGCCTAATCACCTCTCCCCAATACCTCTTGGGCCTCCCTCTGCCTCGACTCGCGCCAACCACCGCCAGCCGCTCACAACTCCTCACCGTGGCATCGGGGCTTCTCCTCCGCACATGCCCGTACCACCTGAGCCTCGCTTCCCGCATCTTCTCATCTACTGGGGCGACCCCCACCTTCTCCCGAATAACTTCATTCCTAATCCTATCTAACCTGGTGAGCCCGCACATCCACCTGAGCATCCTCATCTCCGCAACCTTCATTCTCTGGACATGGGAGTTCTTCACCGGCCAGCACTCAGCCCCATACAACATGGCAGGTCTAACCACAGCTCTATGAAACTTCCCCTTGAGTTTCTGTGGCACTTTCTTGTCACACAAGACTCCTGATGCAAGCCTCCATTTCGACCACCCCGCCCCTATGCGGTGAGTGACATCCCCGTCGATCTCTCCGTCCCCCTGAATCACCGACCCAAGATATCTGAAACTGTCCCTCTTGGCTCTGACCTGAGATCCAAGCTTGACGTCCCTGCCTACTTCGCTCGGCTCGGCGCTAAACTTGCACTCCAGGTACTCTGTCTTAGCCCTGCTTAGTTTGAAACCATTGGACTCGAGAGTCTGCCTCCAGACCTCCAACCTCTCGTTAACACCGACCCTCGTCCCGTCTATCACGACTATGACGTCAGCAAATAGCATACACTATGGTACACTCCCTTGAATATGGCGTGTTATAGCATCCATCACCAAAGCAAATAAGAGAGGGCTAAGTGCAGATCCTTGATGAAGCCCCATTACCACCGGGAAATGGTCTGAGTCGCCACCCACCGTCCTAACCCTAGTCTTAGCTCCATCGTACATGTCCTTGATCACTCTGATGTAGGCTTCCGGCACGCTCTTCGCCTCCAGACACCCCCATAGCACCTCCCTTGGGACCTTGTCGTACGCCTTCTCCAAGTCGATAAACACCATGTGCAGGTCCTTCTTCTTATCCCTGAAGTGTTCCACCAATCTCCTGACAAGGTGGATAGCTTCTGTAGTGGAGCGGCCCGGCATGAAACCGAACTGGTTCACGGATATAGACGTCATCTCCCTCACCCTCGCCTTAACCACCCGCTCCCAGACTTTCATGGTGTGGCTTAGTAATTTGATACCCCTATAGTTGTTACAACACTGGATATCCCCTTTGTTCTTATACACGGGCACCACTGTACTCTACCTCCACTCCTCCGGCATCCTCTTAGTCCTGAAGATCACATTGAACAACCTGGACAGCCACTCTACTCCTGGCCTACCTATGCATTTCCAGAACTCCACCGGGATTTCGTCTGGCCCGGTCGCTCGACCCCTACTCATCCTACGCAAAGCCCCCATGACCTCCTCCACCCTAATGCGCCTGCAGCACCCAAGGTCCCTATGACACTCTGAATTCCCCAACTCCCCTAGCTCTACGTCTCGATCCCCCTCCTCGTTAAGCAGGTCTCGAAAGTACGCCTGTCACCTCTGCTTGACTTGAGACTCCCCCATCAGAACTCTACCATCCTCGTCCTTGATGCACCTAACTTGGTCTAGATCCCGCGCCTTCCTCTCCCTCACTTTAGCCAACCTGAATAACTTCCTGTCCCCGCCTTTCTCCCCCAATTCCTCGTACATGCGACCAAACGCCTCATTTTTTGCTTCCGTGACCGCCAGCCTCGCTTCCTTCCTCGCCACCTTGTAGTTCTCCCTGTTGACTCTCCTTTCTTCCTCGCTTGAGCTCCCTGCCAACTTAGCAAACGCCGCCTTCTTCGCCTCCACTTTTCCTTGAAATTATCTTAGTGGTAAAGGGCTCCTTATGGGGGCTTGACATGCTCCTTTGCATATGAGTTTCTTCTTTCTTCTATTTTCTCTAATGCCTCACTAATCAGTAATCACCAGTAAACTTGGAGTTATTTGAATTAAGCCACCTCTGCACCCCCACCAGCCCAAAAAAAAAGAACCTTGAACTAAGATTGTGTTGGAAGCTGCTTATTCTCTGGGAAGGACAAAAAGAGATATTTTCTCAAGTATATAATATTGCTGACACTGTTCATCTTAGAGATAAATGTAGTGGGATCTGTGATCATAGAATGAATGACTGAAAGGCTTCTATTGAACTTCTTAGTCAACACTGTAGTTTAGCAAAAAATATCTGATATGGAGGTTAAGGCAAAGGTTTGTCTTTAAGGTGTTACTTTTAGGAGTATTATTATTTTATGGTACCTGTAATGCTGCAGTTTGACCTTATACATTTAAAGGATGTCTGGAATACAATGAAGTGAGATTTCTATTTTTGTTTGGTGTTTTATTTTTGAAGGTTCATTACTGGTTTCTTTCTGGCTGCCATCCCTTGGTATGTTGCTGCATTTATCCTGCTCTGCACCAGATCAGTTAATCATCGAGAGAAACCAGGATATGTTACATGCACAATTGCTGTAAGCGATCTGTTTCTTTTATTGTTTTCTTTTTTGGTGATACCTTCAACTTGTCTTTCATTTCTAACGAGTTTTCCTTCATGGTATCAGCAGGCCTTATAAGGTCATGGTTAATAACATAACTTTGGAAGTTATTATAGAAACGGTCTGTGCACTAATTTTTCACTGTTATGGTTATCCTGATTAACTAACATTAGATTATGAAGGGAAAAACTATGGTTCAAAGATTAGTAAATGCGGAGATATTATTTGAAAAGAATCTTCATTTTCTTCTAGAGTTCCATAGCAGGATGTAGACATGATGTAGGTGCAGATTTTCAAGAATACTTTCAAAAGAAAGACCATTACACTCTTAGCAAGTCCAAGCTTAATGAATTATGATCACTGCATGAGAGTGAAAATAAGTGCGCATTAATTCAAGATTCATTTAAGAATTTTGTCAATGAAATGGCACACAACTGGTATAAGCTGGTTAATCAGAAGTTCGTCTATTATGCTAAACTAGCTATTTGAGATGTAGAGTGATAGTAGTTGACAATATGTTCTTCCTAGCTTAATATCTCCATCTCATACTGTTGTGTGTTGCAGGCTGTTCTTGCTACTATTGCCATTGTATTTGGTTTAACAAGGATATAATCGAAAACTGGTGATCAACTTGTGTGGAGTCATATGTGTACTAGGTAGTTTGATTAATGTGCGTGTAATCAGAAGATGTCTGTAAAGAATTGCTTGTTTTAGATATATGCTTCCTGTCCAAAACTGCCATGTTTGTGTAAGATGTTCTAATTATGAGACTGAATGCTTTAAACATGGCGCAAGAGTTTGCATTTGTGCTCGGGGAAATCAAGTAAAAGTTGTTGTATGTTGACCAAAGACACAAAAGTCTCTCTTGGCTGCAACTCTAGGAATGAAAACAACTAGTAGAAGTCGTACCAATTGTTAGATTCTAAATTAAATTCTACTCTAGAATGAAGGATAAGATAAAAGATATATATGGTTTGTTTTGATATCGTGTCAATGAAGCACATGCAGTTGAATGTATATATCATGAACGTGACGTGCCCTTAGGCTAAAACAAGGGATTCTTGAGACTAACAGAAGCAGTGGCAGCAGGCAAATATGCTAATAAAAAAATACAACAACAATAGCAAGGCAAGGCAAGTAAGAATAAGAGAGACTAGGTTATAGCAAGTAGCAACAATGGGGTGATGATCATAATGAAAACATTGAGAAAATGTGTTATCATCTATTTCGACCAGTTTCATTTACTACTTGAAATCCAGATCGGCTCAAAGAATCAAATCACCACATAGCTAGTTATCTAATTACTCATCAACAAACAAGTTATCCTTGATAAGTTTCATTTCTTTCGTGTTGAGCGCCTGCATATAGCCAATAAAATTACAAAGGTGGTCAAAGAATATTTAAAGGAAAAAATGAAAGGAACCTTTCGAACGCATAACAGGCTTTTAGACAACAGTGATAGACTCTCATGTAGAATCTTGATTGAGATGATATACTTTATTTGTGTTTTCTTTTCATTTCCGTTGTCTGTATAATTATTTCTTAAAGTTGGCGTTTGTGTACAAATACTTTTCAATCTATGTATTTTATTTTTCCTTCATATATACATGTATTGTCTTCTTTAACTAATTAACATGCGCATTTTAAACTCTTTTCACATTTGAAAACAATGAATTAAAACCCTTCTAGAGAAATTAATTTAAATAGCCGCCCGCCCCAAAAAGAAAGCTGAAATATGTATCTATTGTACACAATTAGTGTATAAGATATGTATATTGGCTAGAAAATATAATTATGTTTGATCGAGGGGCCAAATATGCTAAAAGCCGTAAATTAATTTTATATCTCCCTTCAGTTTATAAATAGATGTTTGAGTTTGGGTTGAGTACTACAAGTACAAGATCTGATCAGTTCAGCTTGAGTCGTACGTAAACTAGGCTTAAAGCAAGCTCGAATATCAAGCTTGACTGATAATTTATTGAACTTTGATAAACTATATACGCGATAATTATAATAAACAAAGACGAACTCAATTTTAAGGACTATTATGGCTTAAAAAAATTGTTTGAGGGATGACCAGGGAGGTGGGTTCCAATTTTTGTTACCCCCTTTCTCATCTATCTATATAGAATAGAAGAAGCAAAAGCACTACATTAAGACAAGTGTCTTAACCACAAAAAGCCAAGTGGCATTGTTAAGACAAAATAAACTACTTTTCTAACTATTTTTTTTTTTTGAATTTTAAATTTTGAATTAATTGGTTACACTACTTGAATTAATAAACATAGATATCTTATAATTATCAATAAAACGAAAATACAAAAAATATTCTACTNATACAAATTGGAGTTTTAAAATTATTTTACATTAAAAAAACAAAAAAAACAAAAAATAAAAAACTACCAATTCAAATGGTAGTTTTTTTATATATGGGAGTAGTTATTATACTAAATTGGTAATTTATTAATAATTTATATGTCAATTTAGCAATATTAAGTAATGGATAATACAATTAGATAACCAAGAAACATATATATATATATATATATATATATATATATATANGATATCGTAAAAATACATATACCAATTAAATTTCTCATCTAGGAAAATTTAGTTAATAAATAGAACTCATAATTTCATAATGCAAAATACAAAAATATAAAGAAACTATTAGGATATAATACATAAGATAATATATTATATATAAAACACATTTTATTAATTTTTAAAAATATTAGTACGTTTTTTATAAAAAAATAATAAAAGGCTTATCTCTTTATACTTTTGATGAATTCAAAATTATAATTTAGTAAAAAAAATGATATTATTTAAATTTTCAGTAAATAAAAAATGAGAAAACTAATCAAATGTTATAGTAGAAATGAATGTACGAAAAGAGGTGCATAAAGATAATTTTATAATATTATATTTTAAATTAATTAATAAACAAAATATAAATAAATTACACTCAAGAAAATTATTGATAAATTTAGACAATTGAAGAATTTTAAACAGTATAACATAAGTATAAAAATATATTTCCAGAATAAGAAAAGATATACGTATGTTCTACTAGAAGAGAAGTAGTATAAAATGTTAAGCCAATTGACAAATTAATAAAAATTCACATTAGTAAATGTATAGTACTAAGTACTTGCTAATTTAATAAAGAATAAACAAGGAATAAACAATTCATTTGATTACTATAATGCTTTGTATCCTTTGATTTTGTATAGATTTTATTATATTTATGTACACTACATTAAATAATAAAATAGTAACTATTATTTATTAAATTAATATGATATATTAGATCATAATTTTATAAGATTAATATTCCGTCAAATTATCCGCGCATCGCGCGGGTTCTAACACTAGTAAAGAGAAGAGAAGAGGCTTTGCATTTGCGATGGTTTCTTCGAATTTGCAGGGTTCGCAAATGCGAACCCCGGGTCGCAAATACGACATCTGCAACTGATCAAAATGGGACTTAGACGGGATTTTTGATTCATTCCTCAAATTTTCAAACTTAGAAACCCTAGAGGCGATTTTTCAAAGGACTCTTCTTCCCCAAATCATTGGTAAGTGATTCTAAACTAGTTTCTTTCAATCTTTCACTACTTTTCCTAAGATTTCAACCTAAAATCTAGAGTTTTCATGGTGGAAATTGGGGTTTTTGGGTAGAATTAGGGATTTAAAAAATAGGGATTTAGACCTCAAATCGAGGTCGGATTCCAAAACAAATTACATAACCGGGCTCGAGGGTGAATGGGTTATTGGGTTTTGGTCCGAAATTTTGGTTTGGACCAAGCGGGCCCGGGTGTTGACTTTTCAATAATGACCTAAATTGAATTCTTTGCAATCGTGGGTAGTTCCTAAGGCTTAATTTGAATCGTTTGGTTGGTAATTTGCTAGATTCTATTGGTTCGGAGACTTGTTTGAAAGGCAAAGCCGTGGTTGAGCTTTGAGTTTGGTCTTTGGAGCGAGGTAAGTGTCGTGGTTAACCTTGACTGAGGGATTAGGACTTATTTGTCTATTTTCTACATGTTTAGATGTTGGGTACAACGTATATGTGAGGTGACGAGTACTTATGCGTTGTTGTCGGGTTATAGCATGCGGGTGGGACTTGTTCTTTGCAATTATTGCTTTCCTTGATCATATTATCCATGCTTAGACTAGTTAATTGTTAAATTGATCATTCTTATCGTGTTTATGAGCTTTGGTGATAATTGAGTATTGATTCCGAGTTGAGATTGGTTTTGTGGAACCGTTGTTGAAGTTAGGCTTATATTTGTTGATCCTATCTCTCTGTTATTACTTGTTCATTGTTATGTGATATGGGAGAGTGTTAATGCACGAAGGGTGATGCCATGCCGTATGTGAGTGTTAATGCACGAAGGGTGATGTCGTGCTATATTGCGAGTGTTAATGCACGAAGGGTGATGGCGTGCCATGTTAAGAGAGTTAATGCACGAAGGGTGATGCCGTGCCGTTTTTATTGATTTATACAGTGAGTGAGAGTAAAAGCACGAAGGGTGATGCCGTGCATTATCATTGTTTCATTGTGAGGGTGAGAGTAAAAACACGAAGGGTGATGCCGTGCAATTTTTCTTCATTGTGCTTAACTGTTGTTATTGGTTATAGGCATATTGACTGTTCTGGTTATCGTTTCCGCTGTATCTCTCGTATCTGGTACCCCATTAGCATGTTTCCCCCTCCAAATAATATATGTATAGCTTCTATTTGTTGTTATCTTGTACATATACTGTTAATTGCATAGGTTTATTATGTAGGTGTCTTGTCATAGCCTCGTCACTACTTCGTCGAGGTTAGGCTCAACACTTACAAGTACATGGGGTCGGTTGTACTCATACTATACTCTGCACTTCTTGTGCAGATTTTGGTACCGGCCCCAGCTGTCCGTGAGTTGGAGCATCCTGGACTAGCTTTGGAGACTCGAGGTAGATATGCTGGCGTCCGCAGACCTTGAAGTCCCCTTCTACTGTTCTTGTTTCACTGTTTCTTTCCTTTCAAAACAGTTGTACTTCTTTCAGACATTATTTGTAATAAATTCTAGAAGCTCGTGAGTTGTGACTCCAGATCCGCGTTGTAGTAGATATTGGGCTTTTATGTTACTCTGAACTTGATTTTATTTCATTTTGACTTTATCTATTGAAATTGAAAGAAATTGACGTAACGGTTCTCTAACGTTGGCTTGCCTAGGAAGTGAAATGTTAGGCGCCATCACGGTCCCGGAGGTGAGAATTTCGGATCGTGACAAGTTGGTATCAGAGCACTAGGTTTCCTAGGTCTCAATTCATGAGCAGCCTTAGTAGAGTCTGGAGGATCGATATGGAGACGTCTGTACTTATCGTCTAGAGGCTATGAAGTTTAGGAACAAATTTCACTTCTATTCTTCTCTGTCGTGCGATTTTGGTTCTCTCATTGCTAATTGAACTCTTCTACTCTTGTTCTCTCGCAGATGGCGAGAACACGTACTGCATCCTAGCCGAGCAGTAGCTAGAGCCCCCAGTGGCAGCTCCTATGAGAGGCAGAGGTCGAGGCCGAGGTTGTGCCAGAGGCCGAGGCAGAGGCAGAGCTCAGTCCAGCTCTCGAGCAGCAGCACCAGCAGCGGAGCCTCAGGTGGAGTTTGATGATAAGGTTCCAGCCCAGACTGTGCCTGTTGGACCTACTCAAGTTCTGGAGGGGTTCATCGCCACCCCAGTGCTTCAGGATGCTTTGGTCCGTTTAGTAGGCCTTATGAAGAGTGTGGCCCAGGCTGGTATATTCCCTATGGCACCAGCAGTCTCTCAAGCTGGGGGAGGAGCACAGACTCCCGCTACTCACACTCCGGAGCAGA